ACCGCGCCCGGCCGAATGCGTAGCGTGCGCCGAATAAGATATACGTTGCGAAAGTGTCGAAAATTTTTCCCCGCGTCATCATATCGTTCACCGGCGCGTGAAACACTCCGGGGAAAAAATATATTTTTGATTGTCGAGAATGCTGTCGTTGAATATTATGCGCGGTCAAAGAGCGAGCGATACGCTTCATCCCTTAATCGTCTTAACCGTCACACGAAAATTGAATTTCTCGATGTTTTTTGTTATTCCATATTTACGAATGAAGGAAGGATTTTGTGGTTTTTCATTTAGAAATCATAGTTTTAATTAATTTGCAGAGATAATTGGAAATGCATATTTTGTATTAAATAAAATTACTTGTGCAACATATGACACAATCTGTGATTTTTAAGTGCATTACTCAGCTACTCTCGCGCACGATTTTCCATATAATGATTTTATTTCAAGCCCACTTTAGACGATCCATAATTCATGTCGGAACTCGGGATAAAATATTATTTATAATTTTATGCTCCGTGTAACACGAAAAATCATTTTGAAGAATTAGATTACACACACAGAAATAATATATTAAAATACGCGTAAATATCAAAATACAGAGCATACAATGAATAGAATTGTTTTCTAAAATTTGACACAAATTAAATAATTTGACCTAAATTTAGATGATTACGACTAATTTTTATTTCATCGGTTTTTTCTAATTATTGAATATAAACAACAATGAGAAATATGAATAAAATATTCTACAGGTTACATCTTATTTTGTGCATGTTATAAACATTTAAAAAATGAAGTAGAATTGATATAAAATCAAAATTTAAATACCAATCGGGCTCTCGAAATTAAAAATTAATGATATAATATACGGACAATGAGAGTAATAACTGTACAATGTTAATATATAAATTATGTGAATATTATTATTAGACTATTGTATAAATTACACACCAATTCCCACGCTGTATTAACGCTCTCATTGTCCGTATATTATATCATTGTTTTTTAGAATTGATATAATTTTTGATAAGATATGTAGTGATAATTATCTAACGATACAATTTTATTTTGTATTTTTATGTTTTTATAAAAGTAAGTTTATTGTAAAACGTTTTATATTCGATCTTTATATATGAAACAATTTTACATTTATATATATATATATATGTTACATTTATTAAAATATGAATTGTTGAAATACAATCAGTCCTTTATAAAATTTATATCGTATTTCTTAGATCGTACCACAAATTTTTAAATCATATTTTTTATTACTTTTTTTTATTACATTTATTAGGTTTTTTTGAAGGAAGTTATACGTTTTTAGAAACATATATACAATTTAAAAAACCGAGTTGCTTGAATTGTATATATTTTTTACTATGTTATAAAAGGACTTATAACAATTTTGTTCGCTTGGCAAAAGATTATAAACATATAATAGCTGTTTTAAATATCAAACTTCAATATTAACTTGAGTGCTAATTAGTAGTACCATCAATGAAAAATATAATATAAAATATCTTAAGTAATTTTGACAACTCTTCCCTAACACGATTTTGGCAACTCTCCCCTATATACTCGACACAAAATATTATCGCGCCTTTTCCGACAATTCCGCGTATTTGAATTCCAGAAAGAAGGATGAAAAAACGCGAAAAGCGCAATCGGAACGAGCGGATTTGCAATCATCCATAAGCGATAACGTACTTTTAAACTGAAGTGGCTTCCTGACGTTCGACGAAACGTCTGCGAATTATCGAACATATCCACGTCCCGCGGCATCAATCAGGGGCAGCGTAAAGTGTTGTATTCGTGCGAGCGAGCGCGGACCCCCCGAAGGTGGTGGGTCCGTGATGGTGTCAAGTGCACACCATCACGGCGGCGGTGGTGGCGAATGAAAATTCGGAAAGTAGTTTAGGTAGATCAATCCGCGCAACCGGGGTCAACGATTCGCTCAAGGTAGAACGCGTATAATAAAGTGGCTAATGGGTCGGCTACGGGCGGTATAGCGGACGGGAAACAAGGGTGGGCGAGAGACTTTCGGGGGTGCCCGAGTGTGCGTTTGACGTTGGCCTGTTCAGCGGCTCCTTACGCGGAAAAGTAACGGTTTTCCTCTTCCTCGATTACGTACACTGGCACTCTGACGTATCGTACAAGATACGTTATTTCGTAAAACAATCTTCTCTGGTACTACTCACATGGGATGCAGGAAAAATCCTACATAGATATTGTATTTTAACCTTTCGAAGTTCAAACTATGTTTTCGCGAATGAGCGAAGATGAAGTATTTTGTCCTCAACTTCAACTTGATTTATTTGATTGAAAAAAAAATAGACTCGGAAGAAATAAATCATGCGATATAAAAAGTGCCAATATTGAACCAATATTTGTGTGTAAATGTATCGTCTTATTGCCTAAAAAATATTAACACCGAGAAAAATTGGTTCTGGTTGGACCAACAAGAAATACGAACAAAACGATCATACCAATTCGAATTCTATTATTGTAATTGAATTCTGGTTATCTTTAATTAAAATGTTTCATAGATTTATCTATAAGTATCTAATTTGTACCTTTCCGGTTGAATATTTACTCGAATTCTAATTAATACGACAAGATTTTTTCCAGTGAAAGTACATATCCCAGACAGCACAGAATATTTATGATAAATATTTATCAATATTAATTTTTTTAAATGTTGTATAAATATTATATACATATTTTATATAAAACTTCATTTGAAATATTATTAAAATATAGACTAAATATTTATGTAATATTTATGATAAATATAAATAAATATTTTATAAATATTTACAAAATATTTAAAATAAATCTTATAAATATTTATAAATATTTTGTAAATATTTTGTAAATATTTTGTAAATATTGTGTGCTGTCTGGAACGTTTCGATTCTAGTTTGAAATCATCATCAGTACAAAAATTTAGCTCTATATGTTGAAATTAAGATTCTTTATTAACAGTGCATTGTATTCTAGAACAAATTGTCGCAGAACTTGTGAGTGAGAATCAAACAACGAAAGAGTTTCATGTTTAATAACTAATAATAGTCTTGTCTAATAATAAAACTGTTATTTATGATAAAGAACGAATGAAACGTTTGAAGTGTGTGATGAACTTGTAACTTAATTTCAACATGAAGATCTAATTTCTTATACCGATGATGACCCAAAACTAGGTTGAAACGTATATTTTGATACTTCTTAGACAATAAAACATTATATACGCAATATCCTGTGTTTTACTCAGTCATTTTACATCACATGACTCAATTAATCAGTTGATCTAACATGAATCAAAGAATTTTTATTAATCGAAGGAATTCAAAAATTGTTTGCTGATTATAATATTTATTTGGAAAGACATTTTTGAGTTCTATAAAGTGCGCCGATTCGATTTATTGACTCAAAAGTAATAAACTAAAGCTGGAAATAACATAACAAATTACATCGATCGTCAATTTTAATGATACTAATCAGATCCAATTTCCACTTATAATTGTTAAAGTTGAGTTGTTAAATCCGGTTCTATAATTCGCGTCGAAATTCAGAGAGTAGAATTCTCTATTTATAATTTTTCATGATACAAAAAAATATGAAGAATTAAATTTTGCGATTTTCATTGCAAGCTGATAATGAATTGCATTTGCAGGTGAAGATCTGGTTTCAAAATCGGCGCATGAAGTGGCGAAACAGCAAGGAGCGGGAGCTGTTGGCGACCGGCGGCTCGCGCGAGCAGACATTACCGAACAAGAACAACCCCAATCCGGATCTGAGCGACGCCGACGGGGATCGGCCGAGAATGGATCTGAGCGACGTGAGCCCGCTCACGAGTCCGCAAAGGCCGGAGGAGCAAACGGAAAACGAGGAAGATGAGGAGATCAATGTCACGTGATAAAGCTCACCGCTGAACTCAGCATCCCCCGTTCGCCCTCCGACGACAAGTGATGACAATTTTCTTAATCCGTGAACCAAAGGCTATCGGCCGGACCAAAAAAAATTTAAGCGAAACGTAGGTTTGATGGACACTTGGAATTCAAAGTTTTAAACAGAAATCTGTTTTCATACGTCATTACGGATGCAATTATAATATCAGTTTTACCTTCAATATGAAGAATTACTTCTTCTCGAGGCACCTCAGAAACTGTGCGTGCGACACGATCTACTTATGTCGAGAAGCGTACGAAATAAATATTGTGCAAGTCATAAAGAGACGGCTGTTAATTGTAATCATTTTGCATTTTTCAGCTGGCTGATCTTTATTGGCGACTATATATTCGCGGATAATTGGGCTATAACAGGGTGTCCTAGATTCATTGTGCGAAGAGAAGAATGTGTTAAACACGAGTGGCATGTGATGTTTCGTATCACTCACAGTTTTCAACGATCTTTAATTGTTTAGCGATCATCGGTTTGTCCTCAATATTTTTTTTTCTCGAGTTATACACGACTTGTGGCTTTGTTATATTTGATAACAGCAACACGTGTCGTCGCAAACTGATCCCGAGCAAAAAGAAAATACGAATGCAGGATAAAAATGAATAAGAATGATGTATTATATTGTAATTAGCGCGATGAATGTACTTTCGAGGAGTCTTCTATAAAGTATTGTGTAAGGTTGTATTAGACGTAACGTTACAATTCTGGAAATATGTACCTAAGTCTACTTATAATGTGGTCGCGCGGCCAGATCCAAATGTAATTACATTCATTGTGATTCAATATAATCTATGTAATATATTGAAATAAAACTGTCTATGCTAAGCGATCTACACTTGTAATGTCAATACGTGATGAACAAAGTTCCAAATATAATCATCATCTGTTTTTTTTTCATCCTAATATTAATAATCAAGGTTGTAAAAGGAAATCAATTCATCATATAAAAATTTAATAATATATTTTTCAATTGATAAGACTTTCAGAATACAAAGTATATACTTTATTTATTGATGTAATTACTTCTAACACAAGTAAACAGAGTAGCTTTGAGTTAATAGACGAAGTACGTTGCAATATTAGAAGCGAAGTTCTTACACTTTAATAAAATTATAATGAAAAATAAGCTCCCCTGTTTACTATCTCTATATTTTTTGCTGTATACAGGGTGTAACTAAAATAAGATAACAAACTTCGAGGTCCCCACACCAAACATGAAAAAAAGTATATATGAACATGTCCGCAAATTGTTACTGAGATAAGAAGTATAGAAAAATGGTCAAAATGGATCATCCTACCAGAACTTTCTCGATCCTATTTAAAAAAAAAAGTTTAAGTATTATGGCTTCCACAATCTTCTGATCTAAATTCTCTAGATTTTTATCTGTGGGGACACTTAAAATTCTTAGTTTATGAAGTTCCAATCGCTAATGAAGATATAACGAAAATAGACTATAATACCAACGCATCTTTGATTGTGATTTGTGTTGACACTGAGACTCAATTGACGCTGAAATTTGAGATTATTTTATACGTATGGCCTCTGCTTCTCGAGGAAACTTTTATTGGATTTATTAGATTCTTGTTATCGCATGGTACTGTGACCCTTTGACCCCTTTTACACCATTAAATCGGTTAGTACGCGTATCAAATTAGTGCGGATTAAATATTTGATACGTCCTTATTTACACAGATCTGTCTCAGAACGGATCAGATTAGGTGACATGATGTCTTCACTGCTTTTCAAGATATAAAAGCTCTAATTCTAACTTTAACCTGAATTTAAAAGCAGTGGCGAATTTTAATATACGATCCAAAACTAACCAAGCGTTTACAGCACGCTAAGATTCTTGGATACCATTTGATATGCGTACCAGCTTGGTCTGATACTCGTGATTCAGAAGTATTAGACCAAAATATTCCGCCAGCGTTTATACCAAGCACATCAAGTTATTTGGTACGGATATGGCACTTAATACGTGTATCAAGTGCTCGGTGTAAACTAGGCTTTTAAGTGAGTCGGAAATCCATACAAGGGCTCAAAAAGAAGAAGGAAGATGTTTATGATAACATTCGCAATTGCCCCGGGATCTTTGAAAGGGTCTATGATCTGATGTGTTCAAGCGTGTATTGAATCAAATAGGAGACACTTCGAACATTTGTCACAATTAAAAATTGAAAATAAATAGTATTAAATAATAATAAATACAATATTACTGTTTTATTTTCCCCTATTAATAAATATTTTGAGCTGTATCTCAGAGAGTTCATAGACATATGTTGATATGAACTTTTTTCACGTTGTAGTGCGGGGAAGTCGGCCCTGAAGTTCTCTGTTACCTTATTTTAGTTACACCCAGTATTTACTATATATGGTAAATATATGTATATGTATACATTTACATATTTACATACTTACGTGCATAAATTTTAAAATATAAAATAAAAATAGGATTCGCGGTCTGTATTCACATGCTGTACATTTAACACTAAATAAAAATTTTCATTTTTGTTGTCAGAAATTATTAAATACGATATCATAATATAATGTTATATTGTGATAATATAAATAAAAATGTATAATATAATTATGATTGAAAATTTGATTTTCATATTTAAAATTAAATGAGAAATCATGAATACAGACCACTTGTCTTTCTACTTCTGATATTGTAATAAGAATATACATAAATATATGCACAAACACAATTCGTTTGTTATAAGGATTCCTTCCAGTTGAACTAATTTCACTTTTCTATCCGTAACTGTCGCATGCTTCGCATCACTTTAATTATTTTGAACTTGTGGCTTCGACCATTCGACGCTCAAAATTAGATGATCGTAACCGTAACCATCCAGAGTTGCGATTGCTCTTGCTGCATCAACCCTGTGCTTGAAATGTACATATGCGAAACCCTTGCAAAGATTGGAAAGTTTCTCTTTAGCGAGAAACTGCTTGACTACGGAACCGAATGGCTTTACAAGCTCATCTAGATCAGCATCTGTAGTGCTCTGCGAGAGATTGGAAATACGTATGGCTGTCGTATCGTCGCGTCTCTGCATCTGCATCGAATCTCCGCGTTTGCTGCCGCCGTCGCGCATACCGGGCGGCACATACTTGCCACCTTGTGGCTTAAGTTCAGCCATTGTACCAGGTACTCCAGAATTAACGAGAGGTTTCTTGTCGTCTGGTACTTTTCCTAAAAAACAGAATTTTAACAGTTATATAATTATTAGTTATAATTTTAAAAATAATGTATATTTAAAAATAATATATATTTGATATCTTTTATTTATGTAATTAAAATATATATATAAATAAAATTTTATTTTTATTTTTATTTAATGTTTATATAATTGAATGTGGCGATCATGTCACATGTACAGAGTCGTATGGCAGCTCTCTATGTCAAAGATCTGAGTTCAAATCCAGAACATACATATATCAGATTTTATTTGAGTATCATCTCTCGGAAGGCAATGACGAGCCACCGAGAATATCTTTGTCATGACAGTCTCTTCTGATAGGCTGTTAGGAACTGGCGTTAAAAACTGGTTTCATATATGAATGGCTATGCAGAAGAGGTCACCACATCTTTGACAAGAGATGACGGACTTAAGAAATATAACTGAATTAGCTCGTATTTATATCAATTGACTTCTGACGATATAACTTACCACCAGCAAGAACAGTGTCTTTGTACGGACACTTGGACGTCCAGTGATCGCCATTGCAATTACGGCACTTGACGACTCCCTTATCGCCCATACTTTTCAATTTATCCAAAGAGTCTTCCTCCACTTTGTTCTCCTCCTCTTTGCTGGAGATGAATTGCATAAAAACATCCTCACCACCGACAGTGGTAGCTGGATTGGGTCCCGGCCTGTCGTCATCAGAATCGCCGAACTTCGTCCAATTTTTACGTGCCGCAATCGTTTTCGAAACTATACGTCGCTCTATCTTGTAAACACGTACAACCTTGACTTTCTTATTGTCTTCATTGTACTTGTACTCGGTGAGAATCTTGAAACCATTTTCGTAGACTTCCGTAGGCGGAGGTAATACTCCTCCCTCTTCTTCAACTTCATCAGCCCAGCTAGACTTGACCTCATTTTGTGCAACTGGCACCTCTGCAAGTTACGATATTATGCAACATTTAGATACATACGAATACTAGTTTAATTAAAGTGTATAAAAGTACATGCAATATGTGCAAACATCAAGTTTCAAAATATTAAGGCAATTATTTATTCATCCATAAAAATTCTGTATTTAAACATTTTATTCCATTTATTCATCTATAGAATTATAAAATTTAAAATTTTAAATATTTATAATTCTTGTCAAGATAAAATTCTGTTTATAATTTTATATAATATAAAAAAACATGAAAAAATCAGAATATACGTAAATATAAAATATACAAGATATATACATATATATTAAACAAAGTATATAAATAGAATTGTATCTCCTAAAATCTGACAGTGAATTATAAATCTTTTAAAGTGGAATAAATCTCAAGAATAAATATCCAAAAGCATTTATCTTAAAATTGGAATATCTTAATAAAAAGATATACAAGCTGTAATTCATGTGATTGATGTTTTTCACATTAATTGCATTGATATAAACCTAAATATACTTAACCCGTTAAAGATTTGTCAGTCATCTTATTTTTATAATAAATGAAACACTATTAGAGCCAAGAAAATGTACACAAACGCTGAAACAAATTAGATACAAAATTATATGATACTCCATCTCTTTTCAGCATGTTAAAAGTATCAATAATATATTTAGCAGATGTTTCTTTATAAAAACCTATTAAATCATGATTTAATAACAGACGATTAAAAACTCGATAATAATCTAATAATTTAATTTAATAATTTAGAGAATTAATAAAAGTATTTTTTCGTTATTAAATGTAATTATTAAAATTCATATAACAAAGATATAAAATTGCCATAAACCAGAGCTGCTTGTCATAAAATGACATAGAATTAGAACCTAACCTATTAGACTTCTTTTGACGATTAAAGATTATTCCTATAAATTGTGCATTTACTTTATTCAGTTGTCATCAATTTTCAATGGGCGAGCAAACGAAAGGAGTCGAAATAAAAGAAACATTTATTACGCTATTAATGGCACAGCTAAATCAGTGTGTAAACTCAATGTGTTCGAAAAATAGATACAAAAATCAAGAAAACGTCGCGTAAAAAAGTAAAATTCGTCAATGGACGTTACCGTAAAAATTCGACAGCTGACAATGAACAGATAATCCAAATCGGAACACAGATTACGACGAAACCGTACGAAATAAAGTGCAAATTGCGGAACAGAAACGCTAAACATCCACGTGGGAATCAAAATGGAGGAAACCGCGATCGACCGCTATGCCGCGTGATGCCACGAATATGCCGATTGCCGCGATGTCTTCGAACGTTTCTTGGAACCTCGCACATCGTCGCCATAAAATACAAATTCCAATAGCTAATAGGAACATTGTATTCCTATTTTTTTTTCTAAAGGAAAAGCATGCCGAAAAAAATACGAACGAGATGCAATCGGATTTACAGTTTGCATAAAAAAATCTGAGAGATTTTTTAAGAAGTTACAATATTATTCAAAAATTCGGAAATAATCTGAAATTCACACAAAAATTCTGAAAAATTACGTGAAAAATTTTGGAAAAATTTTCACCAGGGATAAGCAATTAATAATAAATAAAATAAACAAAGTTCCTATATGAAGAGTTTCAAAGTATAATTGAAACAAAAATTAATTATAATAATAAATAAAATTATAATATATATACACACATAATTATATATTATTATTATTATTATTGTTACAGATTTTATTTTAATTTATTCATCCGAATAAATAAATTAAATAATTTAAAAAAAATGTAACTAGCCAACTTTTTTATCGACCAAGTTTATCGACGGAGAAATGAAAGGAGAATCATGACGCCCAATGGGTTGGCAACACTGCCGGCCGCCGCAAGCGGTGAGGTTTGGCGAGGTTGTAGAGTTGTAATGGCGACGTCTGGCGCGTTGTCCGGGTCGCCGTGAGTGAATAATGTACCACGAAACGGTGCTCCGTTTTTCATGCACGGAGCGAGAATCGAGCGAGCGGACGGTACGTGCACGTAACGTTTTGACGGCGTAACTTTGACAGAACCGCCGACGATCGAGCGTCTCCCCGTCACGATGGACCAGGCACCCGCAGGTGAGCACGCCGATTCGGCCGCACAAGCGCGCTCTCTCGCACGCGTTTCTTCCTCTCGCACCTTCTACTTACTCCAACGTGATATTAATTAATTAACCCTCGCATTCCCTCGCATTAACTACAATGTGTGTCTGTTGCTTGCACCTTGCTGTTTCGTTTGTCCTGTGTCGAGCGGCTTTCTATGAAAGCAGTATATAGTGAAATAATGATACTTTCAAATCACTGTAATGTCTGGATTCATTAGCTTACTTGTAAAAGTTTACATATACTTACATGTGTTTTAATTAAATGTAGAAAATGCAAATGCTAATTTTTCATGAGTAACTCTAATATATATTTTACTGTTAATTTTACAGATATACGTATGTGGATTTTGTTAAACTTTATTATAATAATTGATGTTTTTTATTATAGTATATTTTTTATTTTCATCATAATTAAGGTGTTGTATATATAATTGTTTTATTTATATTCTATCGCTTTTCGTTAAATTTTAATTTTAAGCATCTTCCAATAAAGATGCTTAAAATCTACTTGAATAGTTATTAATTATAGATCATAGATTTCAATTTGTAATTAATTTAGATCTGATTCTTGTTGTTTTTGCTTATAACATTCAGACACAGAGTTACGGAACATCATAGACAAACTGGCACAGTTTGTCGCTCGCAATGGACCAGAATTCGAACAGATGACAAAAAACAAGCAGAAGGACAACCCAAAGTTCGGTTTCCTGTTTGGCGGGGAGCACTTCAACTACTATCAGTACAAAGTGACTACAGAGCAAGCCAGTAAGTGGGACATAGCCCATTAACAGCTACTGTGATTAAGAAGCATAAAAAAAGGCCATACTTTATTCAACCAGCAAAGGAATGACTTTGAAAAGCGAGTCTGATTCTTCATCATTGCGAACATACAAAAAAATGTATTATTCATCGAATAGGAGCAATCTTCCTCTCAAGATTTTGGGATTGTTATTTGTTAAGCAGAACACTTTTACACTAAAGACATCCTTGCGTTTCTTGGCAATGGCGATTTTGAGAAGATGTAGTTTTAAGATTCTTGCTGGAGTTTGTCTAACGTGAAATACATTGTCAATGTATTGCTTCAATCTATGTGGGAAATATTACCCACCGTCCAAAATAGCGTGCCCTGTAATATATTTTAGTAAAAATGCCAAAAAAGAGAAAAGAAAAGAAAAAAGAATATAGTGCTCCCAAAAGATTTTCCGATACTGTACTTCTCTCATGTAATTGCCTAAGAATTTTCTTATATGCATCGATACAAGATAACTACTTCGCAGAAAAAAAAAACAGAACTATTTGTATACAAATTTTTCAACTATCGCTTGACAAGGACTCAGCATCTCACAATAATCCACCGTCATTCGTTTACAGTTTTAAAGCAAAAAGGAATAAATCCAATGCAAAATGCAGACCCACGTTTAAACGTTTCGCAGCAGCAGCAGCAAACAGCCGCAAACGCCGTCTCGCAACCACTGAATAACGTCAATCTTGCATCTGGTCTGAGTACGCAAAACAATGGAATAAATCCGGTAGTCGGGATCGGACCCCAGGTTGGAAGTCAGGGCGGTCCCGTTTTGCCTGGACAGATCGGAGCGCCGGGAAATGCAGGACCGCCGATTGGACCGGTTTCCAGCGCCATGGGAGGTGTGAATCCGCCGATCACCGGAGTCGCGCAAGCGGTTAACATCGCGGGCCCACCCGCGTGGCTGCAGAATGAGTTGGCGAATCTACAGTCGCAGCAGACGACGTTGCAGGAACAAGTGAGACAATCAGAACAGAACCTGGCTGCGCAGCATGCTGCGTTAATGGCACAACAGCAGGGAAGAGTAGAGGACGCTGTAAGGCAGGCACAGGAACAGACTTTGCAAAACAATGCGCAAAACACAAACACAGACTTGGCTGCATTTGACACTGTGCTACAACCGATCATTGATAGCTGCACGAAGGATAGCATAAGCGCAGGAAAGGCCTGGATACTTCAGAATTCACTCACACCGCAGAGTAATCAAGTTGTTGCAGACCATTTGCTGAAAAGGTATGTCTTAACATATGTTTTATGTTTATGTATAAAAAGAGTATATTCATTTTTATCTTTATTAAATATTCTTTTTTCAGAGTAATTCAGGGGACAACTTTCAGCCATAAGTTACACATTATTTATCTGGTGAATGATGTATTGCATCACTGGTTAGTATAAGTGTGTCATATATGACACTTGATATGTGTTATATATGATACAAATCAATAGCAATTTAATTATAGTAATCAAAATGGATTATTTTTATTCTTAGATATCCATAATCAATTCTCACAATAATTTCAATATAGTTTCTACAATTGCCAAAGTCCTTTTTATTTTTTTAATATACATTCATATTTATTTATATTTATAATTTTATAATATATTAAACGATATGTCATAAACTAAAAGACATGCCACTAACTATGCACAAGATATATAATTGGATACTTCCCCTCAGTGCAAGAAAAAAGTCTGTGGATCTTCGCAAAGCAATGGAAAGTGTTGTTGTTCCCATGTTCTGTAACACTTCACTAGCAGCATCTGAAGAACAGCTTAATAAGCTAAATAAACTATTGAGTTTATGGGAATCAAAAAATAATTATTTTGACGAAGGCATCATAGATAAGTTAAAACAACCGAGCGCATCCTGGTCAGAGTACCAAGCTAATTTGGTAGCGCAACACGCCACCGCAATTACTCCTATTACAGCATCGACGAAACAGACATTCGATAATTATCAAGCACAGCATCAAGCATTCGTCACTCACGCACTGAGACAGATCCAAAATATTGAACAGCAAAAGATAGCGATAGATCAGCAATTGAAAGCTCCACCGCCACCACCACCTCAAATGGTAGTGTTATTTTTTTCCTTTAAATTAAACATTTTTTAAATGTCTGCAAAAAATTTTATTAAATTATTAAAAATTTTATTTTTATACAGAGTCAGCAAAATATATCAATACCTAGTCATTCTGGTCCGAATACAATGGGTACAGACGTGAATTTCAGTCAACCACCCCCTGGATGGGGTGTCCCTTCAAGCGAACCGCCACCGTTTAGCAACGTCCCTTTGCCAGACTTCTCAAAGCCACCGCCAGGTTTTGGACCGCCACCTGTTATTCATGAACCATCTGTGGAGGATTTGATGCCCAGTATGCCTTATTTCGAGCTTCCAGCGGGTTTAATGGTACCCCTTATAAAGCTAGAAGATGGTGAATATAAACCATTGGATCCAGATGCGATAAGACTTCCACCACCAGCTCCACCGAGTGATCGTTTAGTTGCAGCTGTAGAAGCATTTTATGCACCACCAAATCATGATTCTCCTAGAGATAGGTAAATATGCATATACATAATAAAAAAAGGATCTAGCTGAAATAAAAATGGAAAGATACATATAAAAATATATGTGAGTTACACACTATATTTTTCTACATATTTGTTAACATCATTTTTTATTATATTTGCAGTGATGGATGGGAGAAATTAGGATTATATGAATATTACAAAGCAAAAAATGCCGCTCGCAAGCGTAAAGAAGAGGATATAGCTGCTGGTATTAGGCAGAGATCCAAATCTCCATCACCAATTTTACGACCGAGATCTAAAAGTCCTAGTCCGCCAAAGAAACGCTATCGGAGCAAGTCACGCAGCAGGTCGCGTTCGCGATCGCGAGGTAGAAGTAGATCGAGATCGCCCGCAACTAATCACAGACGCAATAGTCGCAACAGCAATCACGTTAATAGAAGTCGAAGGAGAAGAAATAGTAATAAAGATCGCAGTCCTGACAGGAGAATGGATAGGCAGGACAGAAGTCCAACTCCTCCCAGTTTTCTGTAAGTGCTAACTTCTCTAATAAGAAGTACAAAATGAAATATATTTTTAGAAACACGAATTAGTATTTAATTTCTTTTATTCAATTTTAATCTCTTATAAAATTAAAGCATATATGAGATTAAATCGAGAATCGAACTTGAAACTTGCTAATTACAAATCAATAGCTCTCACACAGAGCTACGCGTCGTCTCATTAACTTCTATAATATTAGCTTTTACATTTTGTTTCCTTTTTTGAACAATGAATTGATATTTATGAATATCGTTTTCTTTGTGTGCGTGTGTGTGTGTGTGTATATATATATATATCTTGTGTACAGCCAATGCTAGAAATGTTTTGAAGCAGTCTTTGATTTGTCATTCACAAAATTCTTTCTTTTGATTAGTCAATGAAATGCTTCAAAGTCTTTGTAGTGAGACTTTGGCTACATTTTTTGTCTTTTATCTATTCTCTGACCATAATTATGTTATTATAGATTCGTTTTGTATTACTTTTAGTGGCTCCACTTATAGTAAAATTCCACAAGAGATTAGTATAGACGAGAGCAATAAAGGGCATCAATTACTCAAAAAAATGGGCTGGAGTGGTGCTGGTCTTGGTGCGAACGAGCAGGGCATTGAAGCGCCCATTTCAGGGGGCGAGATTCGTGATAAGAATGACCAATACAAAGGAGTCGGTATCAATCTAAATGATCCATACGAGACCTTCCGAAAAAACAAAGGTCAAGCATTCATCACCAGAATGAAAGCTAGGGCGGAGGAACGAGCCGAAGAGAGAGGGGAACGCGATTGAACATTAACAAAATAAAAATTGCGAATATTTACGATATTTTGTGAATGAGCCAAGTATCTGGCACGAGATATTAAGAACGTTCTCGTTCTGCATTAGAAATCTATTCACAAAAAGAATTATGCTACCGCCTATGAGGGCCAATTTAAAAAATCAACGTACTTTTTTGACTCTCAAACAGTTATCTTTCATTAATTCTGAATCCCTATTGCACATGTCATCAATTTTAAACTATCACAACGAACGCTAATTGTTTTACATTGAAATCGCACTGATTATTTTTATCAGGAGCTATCTTAATCACATTCTTACAATTAAGCGACGATTAATGAATATTGTGTGGGATTTATATAAATTGTACATTTTTAGATAAAATTATGAACATGATCATAGGATTTGTTTCGAATGTTTGCATAATCTTTAATGATGAAACTTGATGAAACAAATATTAAAACTTGTGTTATATGAAAAAAAAGATTAACCGGATTTATAATTGCATAATCTTATATTGGTAGTATTTAAAACGATTTAAGCGCGCAATTAACATCAGTCGACAGAAAAATCTTCGGTCCTGTTTAATATATTAATTATATATATATATATTCCACACATAATGATTAAATTTTGTTCCATCTTCATCTACTATTGGATGATAAGATAATCGCAACTCACAGTATGTACAGTACAATTCGTTTTGTGCCGTGAAATAGCATGGGCGTAAAAAAACAAGAAATAAGAATACTTGTATTTAGTGAGTTAACAAATTATATTGGATACACACTGAACGATAGCTCAAGAATAAAAACTGTACATTTATTACGGAAGCGAATGTGAACCATTGCTATCGTTACTCTCTTTCCTCTGTTTCCTCTTCCTAGTACTAAATATGTGAAGAGAAAAGAGAGAGAGGATGTAAAATCGGTTAAGCCCAAAATTAAAATTTTTTTAGAATGCATCATTTCTTATTTAAAGATGCCAGAGGATTTGCAGGTTGTCATCGTGTTGTATGTCATTCATTGCTAATGTCAAGATTTCGTGAACCTTGCCGGCCATTTCATCAGGGCGAGGAGTACACTGATACTAAGCTATTTCTCCAGAGAACTTCCTTGAAATTTCTTTAGAAGGAGAGAAGCGGTATTCCTCACAATTAACTTGTCAAGAGAGCCTTCCAAGTCTTCCATATTTTACTTACGTTATAGCCTATATTTGTGTTTAAACTATCTAGATATTTCTATATTTTTAGAACCTTTTTTTTAAGGATCTAGAAATACATAAACATCCAGATAATTTAAACAAAACCATAGGCTATAACACAAATAAAATATGAAAGACTGCTCTTCTAACAAACTAAGGAAATACCCTTTCCTCTCTCGCTCTCCTCTCAATGTCTGTATATATAAAAGGAGGAGCAGCTCAGTATCAGTGCACTCCTTGCCCTGATGAAATGGCAAGCTTTACGTACTGGCATTAGCAATTAATCATGACGGCAATAATCCCCAAATCCTCTGATATTTTTGAAGTAAATATTCGTAGAAACCTCTAAAGTATTGTCATTATTTACTTTTGACAATAAACCAGATACGTATACGTTTTATATAAAGTAATTTTGTATTTAAAATCACATTGTCTTATTCTTGAACCAACTTTACATAATTTATAATTCTCTTTAGATTCCACGATGGAGTTCTCTATAATTTTATCGCTCTATTTTTTTATGCCGTGCATTTTGATGTATATATGTGAGTGTATTTTAATATATACTTTGATTCTTTTTATATGTTTAAATGTTGCATTATATAGTACATGAAATTATAAGTAGAATTCTATCCTGAATTTTAAACCTAAATTATAGATTATTCAAAAAGTAAAATTTAACTTATTTCTTCTTTTACATTCTCGCAATTTTATTCGTTCTTTTTATCTCTTCTTCATGCGGTTAATTCGATTCGATGTTAAAATATGCAAAACTAGCACTTTGTTCAATTGTAAAATTTTAGTCATTGAGATAATTTTAAATCTTATATATATATATATATGTGAGAATCATCTGTTACGACGAAGAATAAGGATAAGGTGATGTGAGAAAGACTGTTCTGATTGTAACAGGAGACGAGATTTCATTCGCGGCCGACAAAAGTCCTCACGGTGTTAACTATTTTTTTTTTAGAAATAACCATTATGTTTTACAATTTAATTAATTTTCATTATCCTTTTAAGCAAAAATACCAAATAATATTAGTTGAAATATCTGTTTATGTATAACAAGACATTTTTACAATTTTAATTATTTATTTTAAAATTTAGACGTCATACAATATTGCGAGTAAAAATTAATATAAAAAAATTACAAAACAAAAATTTAATATAAAAATATAAAAAATGTAAATGAGTATCCAATATTTCACCAATTATGATTTTTACTTATATTCTCTAATGTTTTTACATTAATTTTGGTTTATCATACTGTACAGCAATGTTAGAATTTTATAATATAAATAATTAAAAATATATAAAATTCTATTATTTATATATAACACAAATATTGTGTAGATAATATTCTTGTTTAAAAATAACAAAAATTAATAAAATTGTAAAATATATGTAAAATATATGTAATTTAATTGTGTCGACTCAAAATCTTATTGGTCACGGATGAGGAAATGTATAACAATCTGCTTTAACGCTGTTTAAACTGCACGCTTCAATGCTTTATTAGGCGACTTTGATCAAATTACGATTAACTTATCCCGTTTTCGCTAATGTTGATTAAAAATGAAATACACATTAAAATTCCCTTTCTGGAAGCAGTCAATCAGAGAAAAAGAGTGCAGAGGAACAGCTCTGCAGGAAATTACGGGAAAGTGATAATAGCAGCTGTCGATGATAGAATTATTGTCTATTTATTCATTCTATTTGTAACGCTAGGACAGCGATAATCAGTTGGAAGACGACGTTGTTAGAAACAAAACTGTTCTAATTGAAAGGAGAATATCATGCGGCGTAATAGAGCGTTCTTCGACCGCTCGTTGGCTCGTAACAGGCGTCTTCTTATCGCACGTCACGTGCATGCACGAGTTTTAAGAATGAAAAAAAAAAACGGAGGAGCCTCGTTTAACTGGCTAGGAACGGCTTGGCGAGTGACCGGGTACAAGTTAATCGTGAGTCGCCTTCTTGAACTCCCCCAGCGGCTGATATCGAAACCGATTAAATCCAACGGTGAACCGGTTTTCTCGTGATAACAGCGACGGGTTCGAGCGTCACGTCGAGACGAGACATAAACAAAGCCGGATGATCGCCATTCCGCATATATTGTCATAACATCCACTGATTTTTTTCGCCATCGTACAAGACATACACGTGATCTCTTTACACCAAAATTGCGCAAAATCTTAACCCGCTGGCCTACGGACTTATCACTGAAACTAAAGATAGATCTTTCGTGCATCGAATAAACGGTATTACATTTTTGCGATGGAAAAATTGTAACACTGACAAAGATAGATTTATCAGAGGAATGTGCGGGTGTACATATAACAATTATATATAAATGCACTCCCCCCCTCTCTCTTTCTCGCGCACGCATATATAATTAAACTATAAAACATCAAGATAAAGATTAATCATAATATGTTTTATTAATTAGTATCTTTCTTTTCAGGCTCTTGTAAATATTACGGCACCTAAATTAACAATGGGCGCGTTCAAGTTGATAAAGCGGCTAGCCTGCTCGCCGAGCAAATAAACATAATTGGTTGTTACTTATAGATCCAACCAATCATATTGAATCGCTCAGTAAGCACGCATAGCCGCTTTGCCGTCTTGAATTCGCCCAATGTCAAGGGCCGTGCTTTTTATATCTTATGAGTTATATCTAATGTAAGATCTAACTTTTGATACATTCTGATGTATGTAATAAGAATATGTTACATAAAGATTATAAAAACTTTATTCAAAAATTTAATAACAAAATATAAAATATTTGAAAAGGGAACAATGACTTTGTTTGTGCATTATACAATATACTACAGATCTACTAACGTTCTATTACAAAATGCCTATATTCTTGTGTTTATGTAACATTTTTTAATTTTTTTATTCATGGAACATACGGTCGGAGTAAAAGTTTGGACTACTACTTTATTTATAAATAAGTTTTAGCTTTAATTGTTTTTTTTAATTATGGTACGATGATTTTTAATGGAGTTATGAGTAGTCGAAGTCAAAATGCTTTTTTCATTTAATACGCGATAATTCAATGACAAAAAATCTGACGAACATTTTTAAAAAATGATTTTGAAGGAAGAACTTTAAACTTTTAGCTTTAGTTAGAAAAGTGAGAAAAAACATTCGCATTTTGTCTAGCTCGTAGTTTTCTATATGTGAAAATTATGAAATTCACGGAAACTTAAAAGATATAGTAATTTTTCGAAAGTAAAGAGTTTAAGCTTTAAAATCCTTTCCTTAAATTTAAATTTTGTTCACTTTTAACAAAGTCATAGTTGAATTTTGAAATTTGTAGCGCTACGAACTTTTGTTTCAACTCAGTTCCAACAAAAAAAATGACTGCGGATTTGATCGAAAATTATTTTCGATTCGCAGCTCTGCTGCAACTTTTCAATCTTTGGTATAGAGGGTAAACACTATTCTTGGAAATTAAATCTGCTAAAGTTATTTGAGACTGACTGAAAGTTGATTTTATCTCTTTAGAGATTACACAACTTTAATACGTACGCTAATCATGCAACATAGAAGAAATACGGTCTGTCATATAAGATCGGGTGTTCTACTTCTCTACAGATAACTCGTTCAGTTGAAGAGAGTGGGTTTAAAAATGTAATGATATACTCTGTCATGTTTCATAATTTAATCCTCAGTACGTGTCGCTTTTGCGATTGTTGACATTGGGAGCTTTCCAACAAGAGACACAGGCCTAGTTTCCACCGAGGGTTCGAATCAAGTCAGAATGCAAGAATCAATCAATTACAGTCGAGCATTCCTCTGTAATTCGACTGTAACAGGGGAATGCTCGACTGTAATTGGTTGGTTCTTGCATTCTGATTCGAACCCTCGGTGGAAACTAGGCCACAGATGACACAGTGTAAGGCTGGAATCAGACTACGCATTGAAGATTGAGATTGAAGATTGAAAAATTCAAATTTGACCAATCGAAACGAAAGGAGCTAAAATTTCTTTGTCCTTATTGGTCAAATTTCAATCTTCAATCTTCAACCTCAATCTTCAATGCGTAGTCTGATTCCGGTAGAGAAAGGTTTCTTCGATTCAAAGAAATATTTCTTTGCTATACGGTTAAAGAAAAAATTTCTTTGATTTGAACATAATTTTTTAAAATCAAATAAATATTTTTATTTGATTTAAAAAAATTATTTTCAAATCTCTCTCTCTCAAAGAAATTTTTTCTTTAACCGTATAGCAAAGAAATATTTCTTTAAATCGAAGAAACTTTTTTCTGGGTGTGACACAGTGAATCATTACATTTGTTGTTTGCCAACGTTACGTAAAGCTGAAATGATCACTGTGTTACATAGGGTGCGTTCGGGGAGAGCGCTACTTATAGCACTATTTGTGTTCTATCTTCACCGTTTATTAGACATAAAACAAGGATAAATTGACACAAATGGCGCTAATAGCGTCTTCCCAAACGCACCTACAGTGTCGCTAATTGTTGGAAAGCTCCCATTGTTGGAAATTTAATAAAAGGAGAAAATAAAGAAACCATTTTATATTAATAATGGAATAGGTGGTGAATTTTATTGATTACAAAAAACAAGATATTAATTAGGCTCTTGAGATATAACTAAACAATATAAATATAAAAAATAGGCAAATGGGAGTAAAATCTGCACGATATATAATTCGTGCGCTATAATTAACATTTATATTTCTTTTCTTATATATATTATGATAATATAACAGTATCGTTTTTAATGATTACTTATGGAATTATTTATTTAGTAGCTCGCCGTTACATCATAATATGCCGCTAATATGCCAATACACAATAGTCATACATAATTGTGAATGGATCCAATAGACCCACCGTCAGCTTTGGAAAGTTACGAATTCGCGAAAGACATTTAGTTTCACGAAACGGATCGCACGTGCCTTCGGTGGCTGAACATGGCTGAACGTATCGACGTCTCTTCGTCTGCGTACGTGTCAATGTACTCGACGTGCACGAACGTGCCGACTATTTTTCAACGTAATTGATACAATTGACCGATTCACGAGGAAAGAAGACGCGGGAGCGGTCACGTCCGGGTATTAGATTGCAGGTGATCCAACTGCCATGGGGAATTTCGGAGACCCAAACGCCGGGGGCAAGACGAGACCGACAAACGTGAGCGGTCTGTATCGGAAACTCACGTTTTCGCCGATTCGCTTATTGGCGTTATCATAAGGGTCCGCTTCGCGCATTCGCGATAAACGTGCGATACGAGCGATACGGTACGGTGCGTGCGATGCGTGCGTGCAATAAGTACATACGTGCGTGCGCTCATTGTGACCGTTGCGGCACGTTCGGGGCAAACGTGACGCTAGGCACGAAAAGAACTACCTGGCGATACCGATAAGAAGCCGATTACGTCGACGGTTTGGCCGACGGATGTGCGTCGATAGACGGTTAAACATAATTCTTGGAACGTTGCGGCTTCACGGCTTCAGTGGCCACTTAAGTTGCCTGTTCACGGAAGCGTGGGATAAAAATTGCAGTGTCGTCAGAAAAACGCTCTAAGCACTGAGAAAAAAATTGTTCATTGACTAAATTTATTTTATTTTATTTGTCTTTATTTCTTTTGCTGAAAATGTAAGCATCCAGACAACACGTGACCAAAAGTGACCAAAGTGTCCAAAATCGAGACATAAGATATCTTTACCGTCTAAAAAAAGTCTTATGGGGATGTATAAAAATCTTCGAATTGACCGAACGGAATAAAAAATCCTTTTACAGGATTGAAGTAGACGTAAAATTAAGAGGTGGCGCAGTGGATTTTATACTAAAATCGAAAGAATGTTAAAACATTTTTTAAGTCATTCCAGCATCCCCTTAAAAACGTCTTATTTTGGACTTTGTTTAGGTATGCATTTAAGTAAAATATAATACGTTTGACTTAAATACATAATTCTTCATCAAAAGAAATAAAAAATTACAGTTGGTTACTGTTAATATTTACTGAGCAATCCGATACTTTTGAGGAGATACTTTGCCGCAGGAATTTTTTTTTCTTCGCGAATCGTTTTATCAAATGTTTCTTATCGACTTGTCAGAGAACACAGTCGTGCCTGTTGTATTTTTATTCAGGAATTTTTATGCTTTAACGTTAAAATAAAATGAGAAAATGATGAATAACGACGCAAGGGAGGGAAAAAGTTGGTCCGTGTGCGATAACTCTGAGGTGACCGGTGCAAGGCAAATTGACATTTCCGAAGGGGGTTCAAACTGCTCCCTCTGACCTTTCGGGGCGCATCATTAATGAAGCAGATATCTAATTTTATGGTGCGTGTTATGATACATAAAACACAACACGCAGCAATAGTGCCGTTTTATCGTTGGCTATTTATGGTCGCACGGAATATGGTTTCTCACGGAGAGTTAATCCTTGCGACCTCCAAGGCGAATGTAGTCTGCATAACAACGCTACATAAACAACAGTTTTATATGCAGCTGACACACGTTATTTTCTTGAAATAAACAGATATGCGAGAATTTTTTTTATA